ACACAACATCTCAAATACATCGAATAGGTGTTTTAGAGTTAGAGAATATATGGCACTAACCAGCTGTGATACAGAGCAGAAAAACATCTTCTGACGGAGTAAGACATGCAAAAATTATATTCTGATTATCTTCTTTCCTTCGACACCTTAAAAAAATAAGCCGCACGCAAACACCCAAAACGCTAAATCAAACGTCCAAATACCTCAATTAATGTTTTTATTTTTGGGATTTCTTTACTTTTTTTTTACGTCATTTATTTATTTATACTTTTTATTATTGTATTGCATGTGTGGAGAATGTGTTCTGTGTTTTGGATAAGTGGAAAAAAAGGTGGTACATATTGGGATCCTGCTCCTTCTTGATTGTGTCACCCTGTGAAACTTCAATAAATATATTAAAAAAATTAAAAAGAATACCTCAATGATTTTTTCGCGGTTCTTGGTGGGGTTCATGGGGGGTTCGGTCAGCAGGATCTTGCAGTTGCGGGACTCGACGTTGAGCTTCTCCGGGCCGAAGGTGTAGTCCCACAGGTGCTTCATGTCGTCCCAGTTCCTGACGATGCCGTTGTCCATGGGGTAGTTGACCTCCAGCATGGAGCGCAGCTCGCTGGCCTCGTCCCCCACCATCAGGTCCTGCAGGGGGAGGGCAGAGGTCAACCAGGAGTTATTTTACAGTTTAGTTTCCCACTTCTGAAAGCCAGTTCCGATCATTCAGGGTCACTGGGAGTAAGAATGAGCACTGAGTATTGGTTAAGAGCAATACAATCAGGAATGTGTTCCGCATGGCCAGCTGGTCTCATAAAATCACAGAAACTGGATCTTCAAGCGGAGTCATGTGTCAGATGACGACAGCTTTATTAATGTATTCTCAAAAGGAGCTTTTTAGCTTTAAAACTCAGTTACCCAGCATGCAACAAGCCATCATTTTCCATGCACCTGGAAACACTTGCGTTTCCCTCCAGCTACAGTAAACCACTTGTTATAGAACCATTCAACCAGATCCATGCAAGGCAGCCTGGCAATGTAAACATCGGCTGGGTTAGCGCTCAGTGTTAGCGCTCAGTGTTAGCCACAGTCAAGCAGCCCACGTTCCACTTGGAGACATCAAAAGCCTCGTGAAGGCAGCCATTTTATGGGTTCATCCTGTGTGCTTTGGCATTAAAAAAGTACCAGTCAAAGGCTCTGCCTCCATGTGGCCTCGCTTTTTTTTTTTAAGTGAAAAGAAAAACAGATGTGCTTCCGTCTTTAACCTCCAGCTGTCTGCCATGCACACTTCTTCCCCCACACTTCCTCTGAACTAGTAAAGGTGAAACAGCCGCAGATACTAAAGTAAATGTAGTCAAATGGACATTCCTTGTGTAAAATATGTTTTCACAGGGAGGTACAAATATCTATAGTGCATATAAGTACACAACATTTATCATTTACCACCAATCGTTCTAGCTGCAGCTGACATTTCAATTGTTTTTGTGCTGAAAACTGTATTTATTTCAGTCCTTAAATAGCAGCAGGATGGAGGTGGGGGGTGGAGCTGTCAGCAGATCAGAGACTCTGAAAATGGAACCGGTCCAAAATCTCTTTTAGCAGTCCATCGATAACAGCTGGCTTATGATTCATCAGCCTTTCCTGCAACACTTCCCTCCAGGAGAGAGGAGTGCATTAATGTGAGGGCTGTACATCTATCAGACCCTCTGCCACTCATCTGGCAAACGCTCAAACTCAACGGAAACTAGTTGGGTTGGGAAATAACCGAATCATTGTGTGAGTGAAAAACTGGACCAAAGAACAACACAACTCTCCAGAGCAGGCACACACCGAGCTGAACTTACCATCTATGGGCTTTCTACTTCATCGTAGGGGAACAAAACATGGAGGAAGAGGAAGGCAGATTTATAAAAAGAGATGAATAAACAAAATAATTGGGAAAGAACAGGAAAAAGAGATAGGATCGTGCTAAAGGAATGGGAAATTGGCCCAGTGCTGCTTAATAAACTGGGCTTTACCCCAAAATAGGGTTCACTCTGTTGTGTAGCAGTTGTCAGAACTAAATGGGACTCAATAGAAAGATATTTTAGAGTGGAAGTAGACAGTCTGTAGCTTTGACACTATTGGAAACTGACTTTGTGATTCCATATCTTGCTTTTTCACTCTTGTTTTTCCAGTGACCGGGTTCGCCCTTGAAATCAAGACTTTCTGGTTAAATTAAACAATTCATTTTCAAGGCCACATCTGTTTGTACCTTGATCTCAATGTTCCCAACTTTGGCTGTGGAGCGGATGATGGGCCTCCCAACGAGCGCAGGGAAGATGTGCTCCGGGAAGTTGGAGCCTGCAAAGCCGCACTTGACAAACTGAAAGGAGAGACATGAGAAGCAGAGATGAGAGGAAATTCATTTAAGTACTGGAGAGATAAACTGTGCAAGACAACGGCACAGCCATCCTGCTGATAACAGGGGGCTTCATTAGCATTTGGACAAAGATTGTAAAAAAAAACGCCAGCCCTGCAATTACAGAACCTCTAGCTATTCGGGGAAAATAAGTCTGAACAATTAGGGCCAGTGCCTGCTTTAGCCTCATGGTAGAAATCCATAACTGTATTTTTTAAGGTTTATCTACGGATTTTAATTTGATCTTTCAATGGCTAACCATATTTTTGGTTAATTTATAAATATAGGATGTTGGGATGGGAGATACTCGCAGAACATGTCCCATAAGTAATAAAGTATGATGTTACATCTATAACATTAATATAAGAGTAAATTATCAGATGTCACACACACACACACACACACACACACACACACACACACACACACACACACACACACACACACACACACACACACACACACACACACACACACACACACACACACACACACACACACACACACTAAGACCTTCCTCTCCTTTGGATGTCAGAGAGGATTTCCAGGCTCTGATGAGTCTAGACTGACAAATCTGTGTGTGTGTGTGTGTGTGTGTGTGTGTGTGTGTGTGTGTGTGTGTGTGTGTGTGTGTGTGTGTGTGTGTGTGTGTGTGTGTGTGTGTGTGTGTGT